TTTTTTATTAAAATGTCATTTATTTCTGTGATGGCAAAGTTGAATTTCTTCAGTGTAATCAGTGTCACATGATACTTCAGAAATCATTCTAATATGCTGATTTGATGCTCACTTATTATGTGTTTGTGTGTTACATTTTAAAATAATTATAAAAAATAATTACATTATTTTATAATTTAATAAATACTATTAGTGTTTGCTTAGGAGCTACAATATTGCTTGTAATTCATTTCTGCTACTGTACTGTAAGACTTCTATATGCAAAAGACCTCCTATTATGATATATGATCATATATATCATATATCCTATGATGTATATTCACTTTATATCCAATTATGATATGACATAAACCTCCTTGTGGCATAGTGTTTTTTTTTGTTTGTTTTTTTAGTGTGCATTCTCAGATTGCTGTGATTGAGGCATATTAATGATATATTCCATCATTCTCCATGTCCTTGTCCATAGCCTCTGCCGTTCTCCTCCAGGCCTCTCTACTCAATGACCATGCTCAACTTGTCTCTCTGCTTCACCGGATTCCGTAAAAAAGATGAAGTGGTGAGTCCTGCTTACCCACTCATCTGACTCAAAAGCAGCCCATAGTGTCACTGTCGGATTATTTGCTCTAATTATCTGTGCTTTTCCTCAGGTTACCCTGGTAAATCTCGTCCATCACATGGGCGGCACCATCCGTAAAGACTTTGACAGCGCTAAAGTCACACACCTCATCGCCCGTTCAACACATGGTGAAAAGTACAGGGTATGTATCCACCGTATCCACACATACATATCATCCTTCCGCCCCACTGATTTTTCTGTATAGTGAATCAGCAGAGAAGAAAACAAAAAAACGACAGATTTTTAGTTGTGAAATCCTTTCTGACTCACCCTGCTGTAATGACACATATCAAATCAAATCACTTAGTCACTCCACTATATACACCAGTCTAAAGACGAATTAACTTGATCATACCACTTTACATCTCTTCCTGTCACAGTGGGTGGTTCTTGACCAGAATAAGTAGGATTGTAGAGTCAGGTGATGTGAGACTACTGTAAATGTTCAGCAGAAATTGGTTGAATTCCTTCTCACCTTTGAATCCCAGAAACCTTTGAACTCTTTTGTGTTTGAAGAAGGTCAGTCACCAAAACTGTTTAAATGATTTTATTACCTTTTATTTACATATGTTAATTCTTAAAAATCAGCCTGAATGAAGAGCCTTTTGTCTTTTGGTCAGTGATGGCTATTTCCTGATGGTTCCTCAAACCCCAGGTGTGCTGTCCGTAGCTGGGTCTACTGTCTGCAGTTGACATGTCTGCGTTATTTAGAGAGGGTTTGATTAAAACCTTTCTCATGTATCTCTCCTCACGGCGTGCTGAATTGGGCTGAATCATTCATTAGTCTCATGCATAATGCATGGATCAAGATTTGGTTAGGGGATCTCTTCCCTCCAGATGCTATTCACTGCCTTTTGTCTCTCTTTTTTCTTTTTAGTTGGCAGTGTGCATGGGCACACCCATCCTCACCCCTGAATGGATACACAAGGCATGGGAGCACAGAGATGACATGTAAGATTGTGTGTGTGAGGCATAAAACTACCCCTTGCGTCAATCCCCCTCACTGTGTCAGTACAGAGGAGTAAATGAAGTGAATGATGAGGCTGAAATGTCCAGCCACTGGTGCGCACACCAAACGGGCCCTCCCTGCTTCCATATTAAAAGCGGTTTCCACTGCACTTTGGTTTTGACATTTTCCATACATGTATTGAACACTGAACCTGACCTTTCACATTAATGACCTGCCACTGTTGGCTGGATGTTGACTGAAGGGATTTTTTTTTTTCTCATTTTCGTCCCCTCTGAGCCCACAAGACTTAAAGGAGACAGACTTAGTCAATTTGAAATCCAAATTGACCTTGTACTGTCCTTGTTTCTGGTCTTATTGTGCAGGATGCATCAGTGCACGGTATTCTGAAGGGGAATTTTTTTTTTAAATCTTTCATCTATGCTCAGGCTATTGGTTATTGTTGACCAAAAACGGGGTTTCTCCATTTCTAAAGGTCTTAAAGGGCTCATCGGATGAACATTTTCCACAAGTTGGCATGATTTATTAGGTTCTTCATGAAATGTCTGTAACATATTTTGCTTAAAAACACTCAATGGCTGTGTAAACAACACCCGTTTTGCCTTGTCAAAAACAGCTCTGCTGACACCAACCCGTTTTGGTGTATGTCTCTGTAAATGATAATGAGTTACTGCGCACCCCACCCCCCTTCCGGGATTTCCACTAAAAATAAAATAAATCCACTCTCTTGTCTCCTCTGAGGCTGGGACTCTAAATAATGATTTGTGTTCATCTGTGCAGCCAACGACAGAACATTTAGCATGTTTTCTGCTAACTTTTGCCGTGGCGTCAGAACAAGTAATCCGCTGTCGCTTGTGAAAACAACTATGGCGGCTGAACGCCATGGGTGGAAACGTGCAGATTAATGGGCGGTAATATTATAATAAGATCCCCTTCCTACGTCAGAGGGGGAGAGAAATCTGATTGGCTCATTTTCTCGCATGCTGGCAGAGAAAGGCTTACAAAACCAAACTTACTGGGTTCTTCTTTTTTACGTTTGGTAGATATAGTTGGTAGATGCACCGGACACCCAATTATAGCACTTAAACACTGAAAAAGTCAGATTTTCAGTCGATAAGCCCGTTAAGTCTTAATTCACCCTTCCAGGAATTAAGATGTTAAAAAGTCTTAAATCAGAGCAGGAAGTCTTAAATTAATAAAGTCATGGCATTGAATGTTGCATTGCTAAAAATAAATATCATCCTCAGTGTTTTTGTCTTGTTTTCCAATACAAATATCTAAACATCTTTAAATCAAGATACATTTGAACTGAACACACTTACATTTTTAATAAACAAGAACAAATATCTGTAAAAGGAGTATGAAAACTTATTTCCCCTTTGAATAAATTTTTTTCTTAAGTCCTTTGGTGGATATTTGTTCTTTTTAATCAAACTCACTTATGCCATGCCACAACAAGATTTATGCCATTTTGCTTCTCAAGTAAATGTATCGTGATTTAAGAATATTTAACATTTGCACTGGAAAACAAGACAAGTATGCTAAGCAAGACCATTGAGATGAAAAATTAAGATTTTCTGAGAAACTGAACACACTTACATTTTTAATAAACAAGAACAAATATCTGTAAAAGGAGTATGAAAACTCATTTCCCCTTTGAATAAATTTTTTTCTTAAGTCCTTTGGTGGATATTTGTTCTTTTTAATCAAACTCACTTATGCCATGCCACAACAAGATTTATGCCATTTTGCTTCTCAAGTAAATGTATCGTGATTTAAGAATATTTAACATTTGCACTGGAAAACAAGACAAGTATGCTAAGCAAGACCATCACTTTTTGCAGTGTGATGATCAGAAGGTACAGTAAAAGTTATTTTCATATTCTAGTGGTTGGGAGCAGAGGTATTCAAACCTTAAACATTTTTTTTTGTATAATGATTTAAAAAGATCTGGAGATCGGTAGGAAGTTATATTTTCAAAGTTTTGCTAATACAACTCATTGTGTACTCTCTAGACAGTTATTTTTAAAGAACAAATTGGTGTATTATGTTCCGTTTGATTTATTCCTTAAAATTTCTTTACTTGTTCTTAAAAAGTCTTAAATTTGCCTTCACAAAACATGCAGAAACCCTGAAAAAGCCAGATATAAATTTGGTTATTGTTTTATGCCAGGACTTTTTAAATGGGAACTGCAGGAAGCTGCAAGAGAGTTCTAGGGCAGTGGTTCTTACTAAGGGGCCTCGGCACACTTCCATAGGGGTGCCAATAAGTCTTAAAATAATTTAAATTTAGTTATATAAAAGGGGACATAACGTACACAGTTTCTGACAATCTCAGGTTAATCTTACGTACCTATTGAGTAGTACTGCATCCTTCAAATCTCCGAAGAGTCTTTAGTTTTATCAGATTTATAAAAGAAAGATACAGCTTTACGCTTCTCTCCAAAAACAGTTGCTAAAGAGTCACGAGCATGCAAAGCTTTTGCGTAGCGATCGTCTCCAAGCTGTGACATCAACATAAATAAAACAGGAACAAAAACTTTATTGACTTAAATTAACTATGGCTAAAAATCAGATCCAGCCATATATATATTCGATCCAGACTCTGATCCCGATGACTTCCATAACCCGAATGAAGCACGCTGATGCTCTTGCTCTGGTTGATGTGTGCGTGCTCTTCCGGCAGAAGTGCCCATTCAAGGAATTCCGCCCTTTATGACGTCATACAGGGCCATCCTCGAAAAAAACTTTCCAAAACTTATACGAAGTTATTTGGCACAGAAATACATCCAACTTGTTTTTTGAGACTTTGGTCATGTTTAGCATGAGAATCCAACTCTTTGGCAGTGTAAATAAGTCAGAATGCATGACAAAGCATTAGACCTCCCCTTTAACATAATCTTAATTAAAATGTTAAATCACTAAAATTAAAGATGTACAACATTAAACTGACATCCTTTTTTACTTCATTTTTATTTTAACAAATGTACCAAAGGTAAATTTAAGCAGGGCCTTGGACTTAAAAGTTTGGGAACCATTGTTCTAGGGCAGGGGTGTCCAACCCTGGTCCTGGAGGGCTACTGTCCTGCAGATTTCAGTTCCAACCCTGCTCCAACACACCTGTCTGTAATTATCAAGCAGCCCTGAACACCATGATTAGCTGGTTCAGGTGTGTTTGATTCGGGTTGGAGCTAAAATCTGCAGGACGGTAGCCCTCCAGGACCAGGGTTGGACACCCCTGTTCTAGGCACTAACTGCGGTTACTGAAACCACGCCTTCTTTCTTTGCGTGCACATTTGGGCTGCATTATGCAAATATTTCCACATAGTGAGGTAGATATGTGGGGGCGTGTTAGAACGAACTGTTTTAGGGGGGCGTGGCAGAGTCTTAGTAAAATGAGTTGAAGTTCTGTTTCATGATGACTTTAAAGGTTAGTTGTGTAGCGTCTAGTGCTGTGTTCGATACATCGATACGACAATGTATCGTCACAGAGATTTGATACAGCTGTCTCAGTATCGATATTGTGGCACGTGCAGCAGTGGTCCGCGCTTAATTTGAATACAAGAACACGGTTTAAAATTGAGTAGAAAAGTGCGAGGTTTCTAAAAAATAATGATAAGAGCATAATATATAGGCTATAACAAGGTTTAATCTGGCGGCAGAGGAACACAACTGGGTTGCCTGATATAAAGAGACGTAATCCCCGAAACGGAGCTTCCCACTTGCGCAATACGGAAATATCTGCCAAGTGTGTTACTTATCTTTGTCAACCTGCACGCGCTCTCTCTCTCCACTGAGGATAAACGCGCCTGCTTTCTGAAAACACAGGTTTTAGTTTTAGCTTGCAGTTTAGCGATCTCCACTTCAATATTCTATTCTCAGAAAAGTGTAATTAATCAAGTGTTCATTTATGGGAGAGAGAGAGGGGCTGTGTATGTACGAATTACCACCGTTTTGCCGCGTTTCTCTATTAACAGTGAAGCTGTGGCTTTAATTCCTTTAGAAACAACGATGTTACCAGCTCCTTGTTGAGAAAGATAATGTAGCTCTTGAGCGATTAAGCTATTTAGTTGATAAAATTGCGGGGCAACTCTAAAATGTTTGTTCCTGAATGTCTGAGTGCGGCCGCAACGTGATCTGTGTGAGTTACTGAGCGTGTGTGTGCGTTAGATACAGAGACAGCGCATTAGTTTAGAACTCTTCTAATTTTAATAATTTTTATTTTTTAAATGTAGAGAGTGTGTTAATTTGTGCAATGATAACCTACCAGCAATGTAAATATGATTTTTAAAAAATATATTAGAATGAGTACATTACAATATAAATTTATTAGAACGAGTACATTATTATTTATGGGCTTAAAAACAAGATGCAAACATTGGGCACTCAATACCTATATTGTACTGTGGTACAGTTATGGAAGCCCTTCATAATGCAGAGGTCAACTGCCTGCTCTGCCAATAGTTAGAAATGGCACTATAGTATGCAGTGTTTAATAAACAGCTGTTTTACTAAATTCTTCTGAGGCGAAATTCAGTGCAGTCCCATATCGTGACGTGTATCGTATCGTGGCCCCTGTATCGTGATATGTATCGTATCGTGACTTTGCTGGTGATACACAGCCCTAGTAGCGTCTGTACTGCATGTAAATTAGGGTGGGTGATATGACCAAAATCTTATATCACGATATGAGTAATTTTATCTTGAGGTAACAATATATATCAATATAGTTATTTTTGCTTTAAATAAGGTCTTTATGTAATCAAAATTTTTGATACCATAGAACTTTCATAATTCTTGTCACCAGTGTCACTATGACAAAAAACGAATACTAGCCTAAGTAAAAAAAAAAAAAAACCTTAAGCTCACTGATTAAATAAACTAATTACAAGCAAATAAAAAAACTACAGTAGAACAAATAAATAAGAAATGCTACATACATTGTATAAAGTAATCAAATGTATATATATCCAATATATATATCCAATATACAGTTACACATGTGTTTTCTTTCTCAGCTATTTGCTTTCACTTAAGACCTAAATTACTGTTTATGAGGATATTTGCAAAGACAGGCATTTTGACATACAAGTGAGTGTATTTAACTGTTCAAGGCCTATAAAGCGGTAAAAATAACTCAAATAACTGTTCAATACTCCCGTGCTCTATGAGCACCGTCGTCACGTGCTCGCGCCTCTCTGACAGCGCATGCATATAGTGAAAACGAGTTCTCTCGCTGCTATTTGCGTTTCAGCAGCTTAAAATCACTTGTTTTTAAACCACAATGCATAAAATTCATGCAAACGCTAAGTTCTCATGACCACGTAGCACAGCAACGTCACGTGAGTGTGTAACCACGATAGAGAGAGAATTTCTACCGGTTAATCGTGTCTACCAGTATCTCGCCCAACCCTAATGTCAAGTTCAAATAGAATTGTAATAATATTTTTTAACACTAAAAAAATTACACTGCTTGATTTTATTAGTCAGAATTGTTTTCAGAAACTCCCAAAACTATGTTCAGAGTTTTTGGTCTTGAGGTGTGTATGATTTCTTTTTTCTTTTTTTCTCTCGCTTTAGTAATTTCCATGCAGGCAACGAGGAGTTTCGCACAGAGTTTAAGGTCCCTCCGTTCCAGGACTGCGTCCTGAGCTGCTGCTATTTGCGTTTCAGCAGCTTAAAATCACTTGTTTTTAAACCACAATGCATAAAATTCATGCAAACGCTAAGTTCTCATGACCACGTAGCACAGCAACGTCACGTGAGCGTGTAACCACGATAGAGAGAGAATTTCTACCGGTTAATCGTGTCTACCAATATCTCGCCCAACCCTAATGTCAAGTTCAAATAGAATTGTAATAATATTTTTTAACACTAAAAAAATTACACTGCTTGATTTTATTAGTCAGAATTGTTTTCAGAAACTCCCAAAACTATGTTCAGAGTTTTTGGTCTTGAGGTGTGTATGATTTCTTTTTTCTTTTTTTCTCTCGCTTTAGTAATTTCCATGCAGGCAACGAGGAGTTTCGCACAGAGTTTAAGGTCCCTCCGTTCCAGGACTGCGTCCTGAGCTTTCTGGGCTTCTCTGAAGAGGAGAAAACCAACATGGAGGAGAGGACACAGAAACACGGTAATGAACTTTCATGCATCAGTGTCCTTTCTGAAACAAGTCTGAAACGTTTCATGTTTTAATAAGTCACAAAACCTCTGCTCAAATAATTCTAGATTAACCAAAGCCTTTCACTCTGATGCAACTGAGATGTTGACTCCAGGACGTACTTCTGTATTTTATTGCTAGACCTTCTCTGTTAAAGCAAATGACCCGATTTCTGATTGAGGGGGATTTTTAAAGGAGTGTGTACTGCTTGTTTTGTCCAGGTGGACGGTTCCAGGCAGTGGGTGATGCAAGGTGCACCCACTTGGTAGTTGAGGAGAACTCCATTAAAGAACTGCCCTTTACTCCCTCCAAAAGGCTCTATGTAGTGAAGCAGGAGGTATGAACTTGGCTTTACGTCTTACAAGTACAGACACAGAAACACACACACTGGGCTTTGTGTGGGTCCTTAATAATAGTGTTTAAAAATGCACTCTGTTATTTTGCACTGCTTTCCTGTCCGTAGTCCATTATCTAGTAGGTTGCGAGGAGTGGGAGTCTTTTTTTTTTTTTTGGCAGACATCATAAGTTTTAGTAGCTCTGTTACGATCATAAATGCATCAGTATTAAGGTGTTAATAAAGGGTTCAGCGGAAATGTTTTAAATGAATGCATCTTCTCATTTTATTTCTCATTGTGTGTCTTTCTGCAGTGGTTTTGGGGCAGTATACAAATGGACGCCCGTGCTGGGGAAATCATGTACTCTTACGAAAAGGTGAGGAAATCACTGCATTTGGGGTGTGGAAGTACAAATTCCATTAATTTCACTTATTTAGAGAAGTGTTTTTTTGTTGTTGTTTTTTTTAAGAATTTGTGATTTCATTAGTAAACTACACTACCCACAATCCTTTATTGATGTCCATCAATCAAAGTTATCGCTGTTACAAAGGAAATGGGAATTAGGGCTGTCAAAAAAATTGTCGAATTTCAAATAAAAATCCACATTCGAATGCAAAAACGTTGCATTCAACTTTTAGGTGTGCGTTAAGGAGGCAGCCTTATCAGTGGCGCACGAGATGCGATGACGATGTAGGTGTCATTGCATTATAATGTTTTTGTTAGCCTGTCCAGTTGAAGCCACTAGATGCGGCTCCATCAATCAAAGTTATCGCTGTTACTAAGGAAATGGGAATTAGGGCTGTCAAAAAATTTTTGTCGAATTTCAAATAAAAATCCACATTCGAATGCAAAAATTTTGCATTCAACTTTTAGGTGTGCGTTAAGGAGGCAGCCTTATCAGTGGCGCACGAGATGCGATGACGATGTAGGTGTCATTGCATTATAATGTTTTTGTTAGCCTGTCCAGTTGAAGCCACTAGATGCGGCGCTGCTGCGTTGTTCCTTAAAAATATAGCGGAAAAACTTACTGTTGCACTTGCGTCTCGCACAAAAGAGCTGCATGTTTAGAAAGCCATGTAAAATTAATGCAAGTTTAACTTTGAAAAAAACATATATCGACACTTTATGGCGGGTTTTTTAAAAATGATCCCATGATGCTTCATAATATTTTTTTAAAATGTTGGTAACCAAACAGTTGGCGGTAACCATTGTCTTCCATAGAAGACTCTTCAAAATATCATCTTTTTTGCTAATAGAAGAAACTCACCGGTTTGGACCAAGTGTAAGGTCACAAAATGTGGAAAATAGTAATAATGTGTTTTTTTTCTTCTTCGGTAGTTTATCTTCTGAATACAGTGAAAAGTGTGGTCATATTTAATAAAGACTCGAAATTGATTTTACAGCTTTATCAAAAGCAGTACACTCATATCTGTTGTCTTAATGTCTTCCTCTCAGCCGGAGAGTCCTGCGATGAAGAAGGCCGTGTCTCTGCTGTCTCTCACGACACCCAACAGTGGCAGGAAACGTCGCCGTCTTAGAGAAACATTGGCTCAGCTCACCAAGGAGACAGAGATTTCTCCCTTCCCACCGCGCAAGAGACCTTCAGCTGAACACTCCCTCTCCATGGGCTCCCTGCTGGACTTCTCCAACACACCTGACACCTGCAAATCCAGTGGAGGTGAAATTAATGATCTGATATGACGTGACAAGCAAACAAATAATGTAACACTCCCCCGTCTTCCATGGGTTAAACAAACGAACAGAAGAATAGTCTAACCTAAAAAAAAAACTCTTGGTTTTCTGAAAAGTTTGCAAAGTTCCCATTGCATTATGTGAGAGTGTTCCAGAGCTCTCTAGACTTTGATCTCTGGGGTCCAGGATGATCCCAGGCAGGACTGAGGTGAACCGGGAGAGTCGGGATGTGTTTTAGATGAGTGAGGCCGCTGTGTTTTGCAGAGCGCAGGTGCAGGAGGAGCAGCGGTAGGCGGAGGAGTGCCAGACAGAGTAGATCAGAGAAACAGTGGCCACTGCAGCGTACCAGCACTCCTGTGTGCAGACAGGAAACAGACCAGACAGGTGACATTCATAGTAACTTTAGCCCAGGGTTTAGGATGAATGTAAACATTAATCTATGCTATTAATGTGTAGAAAAGGTGATTGCTCAAATTGAGCAAATTTATCTTTTGCTCTCTTCAAAAGTAAATTATTCGTTTGTGTGTGTGTTTTAATTATTGTTTTTTTTGTTTGTTTGTTTATTCAAGGAATGTTCCAGGTTCAATACAGCTTAAACTTATTTGTGGCAACGTGGATAACCACAGAAAATTTTTAGATTTACCTAACAACAGCAAAAAAAGTACTAAAATTAATTAATTGAATCATCTTTACTAAACTCACAAATTATTTATGGCTTAAAACAGAACTTAATTCAGTTTAACTGATATAACAATGCATTTTACTCTTTACTATGAGCCCAGGTTGATTGGTTGATTTTATTATTTTATATTTTTAATTTATTTAAGTTAAATTGAACAATCCTTTGTATCTAAAACATTGCCAAATGTGACTCGTGTTACACAACTCATATATATATATATATATTTATTATTATTATTATTATTATTATTATTTATTTATTTATTTTTTTTAATTTTTTTTTGGACCGATATTTTGAGAACAGGGATGAAATATACCGGAGGAAGATTTATAGCTGCTCATCTCTGCTTATGTGTTTCAGAGAATGCCAAACCCCCCAAAAGCTCAACTCCCGCCCTTCCTAAGCAGTCAGCGCGCTGGCAGGTCTCCAAGGAGCTCTACCAAACTGAGAGCAACTATGTTGATATCCTGGCCACGGTCCTGCAGGTTTGTGTTCAGTGTGTGTCTTGTGTGTTCTCTTTCTCCTTCTTATATACACACACATAGGAAAGTGGCAGTTCACAGTACCTGGCTGTGGCCTTATCAAACTGAACCAGTGCCTCTGACCAGTAGGGGGGAAAATGAATTAGATTTGGACACCAATGCCATGGACAAACAGCTTTGCTTTGCACCCTTACATGTGGAGCTGATACACACACACACACACACACACACACACACACACACACA